ATGAGCTACAAACACAATGAGTAAACCCTCTCTTCTGTGGCATGTAAGCTGCTACCTGAAGGAACAAAGATTTTCCTCTCCATTGGGAACAGACTAACATCCTTCCTGGCCTGTCTTCCAATATCCACATTCTTAATGAGCTCTTGATTTTCACATCGTGTTCATCTCATTGTATTGCTCCTCAGCTTTTCTGGTTTTATCCCAGGAGGGCTGCAATTCTTTTATACACATCCAGGTTTTTCTCTACTTGCTTTTGGAAGCCAGGTCATGAAGGAGCTCATGATTTTAATTAATCCTCCTGTCCTTTCTGGACCTTGGGATGGTTTAGACATAGGCTTTAAAAACTTTGTGGGTTTTTTGTTTCTTTGTTTTGTTTTGTTTTAGAAGCTGCCTGCTCTTTCTCTCTTTTAAAAGACACATTAATTTTACTCTCATGTTCTTTTTCTTTACTTCCTTCATGATCTCTGTCACTTCACAGTTAGTTTTATTAAAGTCATCTTCCATCTTTGCATGGAAGCCAGTTCTAGACTAGTAAATTAGACTATCTAGATGAGTGCACTCAGAACTGCTTCCTATACATTTGCATGAGAAAATTTTCTCCTGAAGACTCTCAGGGCACCCAGTGTCCCACTAAGGACCTTTCCCACCTCACCTCTTGTCATGTGGCTGACTCAGGTGTTTGTTCAGTTGTGTCCAACTGGCCTCCTGTAACCACCAAATGACACAGGAAGGGATGCAGCATGTCTGAAGCATGATTCACACCCTTACTCTGCAGAGAAGCACCTCAGGGTCCAACCTCAAAGACACTTCCTCATATGGAGGGGTGAGGTTTGTGTTGAGACTTTGACAAGCACAGCTGGGTGATGTTGCAGGGGCTTGGGTAAAAACTGGTAAATCTTGTAGACTTCATTTTATCACCCAATAGCTTATGAAGGGCTAATAAGGATTACTTAATTCTCACCTCTCTTGAAGACATGAAGAGGTGTGCTCATGGCTTGCACTGTCTGTTTGAGGGCTCTGCCTCTTGACATGTTAACCCCAGATTTTTATCCTGACACCATTATTTTTGTCTGGCATTGCCCCAGTGACTCAGCCCTGGTTCTTATTGCACTGCAGCAGAGCAGGGGGAGCAAGGCAGGTGAGAAAGCACAGCTACCACGTTTTCACCCACGTGACCCAGGTCCACAAAGCAAAATAATAGCAGATAATTACCTCTGTGGTTTGGGCAGAGCAGCACAACACCAGGTTAAAGCAAAGGCTGGACCTGCCTGCTCCATCTGAAGGAAAAGGAGGACAATGGGCAGAAGCCACCGTGTCCCACGCTGACCTGCTGTTGGGATCCTCTGAGCTCACCGTGCAGCTCCCTCTGGTTTCTCTGCAGGGCTCCAGGGCAGCTTCTGGCTGAGAAATGCTGCAGTGCAAAGCATGGAGCTGGGTTTGCCACAGAGACTGGGACACTCCTGTGTCTCAGACCCCTCAGGAAGAGGGGAATCCATAAACCAGGGCAGGTTCTGCCTCAGGGGAATAACGTGGTCGCATGGTTAAACTTGGTTATGCTACCAAACCTCCAGGGAGCAGGGTGCCACTTGGTGATTTCTTCTGCAGGACCATGGTCTACAGCTCTTCTCTTTCTCCCTGCCCATTGTGAGTGGCTCTGCATCTCCAGGATGTAGAGATGAAGCCTCCCTAAAGCAGCCTGACTAGCCAGGTAGGAAGGAGCTAGAGGAAGTGATCTTGCTGTTGCTCGTGTCCCCAAGAAGACAGAAATACCACAGCCAGAGCTTTGTGCCTCCCACAAGCTGGGCAGAAGCATGAAAGTGTCTCAGAAGTAGAGCAGCTCAGGGCACCAGATCTGCAGAGCTCATCAGTAAGTCCCTATTGCAAAGCTGCTGCCTCCCAGCCCTTGGTGGTGCCTTAGGAAGCAAGTAAAGCACAGAGCTCACCAGGACAAGAGAAAATGAGAGTGAAAATTCAGCCTTTCTTCTGGGTTAGACCAACAGCATATTGCACAAGGTTTTGGTCTCTTTTATTCCAAACCACTGTAGCTTGAAGTGTGTCAGTTAGGGTGAAATTGGTTGTCAGGGTCGTGGGTGAAGCCCTGGAATCCAGTGGAGCTGGTGAGCAGGTATCCTGCAGGCTGGATGGGACCTCTGGGACACACAGAATCCATCCTGTGTCACAGGCACCAGGCCAGATCATACTTCTACAAATCCACCAGCTCTGGATGGATTTCTTTTGGGTTATTTTTGGTCATACCATTCCATGGGGACAGCAGTTGACAGGGCCTTGTGGTTTGGGGTCCTGCCCCAAAGACAACCCCATCAGGTGAGTCACCTGTGCCAGGGAGCAGTGAAGAGAAGGAGAACTTTGCTTATTGCTGTGCTAGCACAGGGCACAAATGCATGACTGTAACACTGACCCTTTGCTTGTGCTGCTCACCAGGAAACAGAAGGGCTGGCAAGACCTCCAGGATCACCCAGCCCAGCTTGTGGAGCCAACAAGGGATCAAGTTTACTTCTGTTATTCTTGGCACATTGGCCAAGGTTCCAGCAAAGGAACCTCCTGGGAAGCTGCTGCCAGCTGGACACAGTGACTGCAGAAGTGTCTCTTCTCTAGTTGCAGTGTTAGGAGGTTTTCCTTGGGATCACCCTGAAACTTTCTTGCTGCCACCGAGATGTTCTGTGACTCTTTATCTCCATGTCCCTGTGTGCCTGCAGCAGCCCTTTGCACACATCCTACATTTCTCCTCAGCCTTCCTCTTGTTTTAGTCTAAAGAAGCCTCATTTTTGAAAAGCCCAGTGCCTCATGTGCAAGAATCTCCTGCCCAGACGTGTCACCTTGGACCAGGCCTGAGGAGCATCCTACCTGCTTATTGTTTGGATCTGTCCTTTCCAAACCCTCAAAGTGATTTATTTACCATCTTTCCTTTCTTCTCTTCCTTCTCAGGACAAGCTTTTCCTTGAAGCCTGAGCACTAGAGGGTAGCTTGGACCATCTTATCCTGGATAAATGCCAGCTCTTGCCTACACCAGCAGTGTTTGCTTGCCACGAGGAGTTCTGGTATTTGAAAATCCACCAGTTTACTCAGCACCCGTGTGCTGTCCCTCTTCCCTGGATTTTACCATACAGCCACATAAAAAGTGTATTTTAATCCTTTTATTGCAGGCTTTTGAGCTGGCTGTCAGCTTCACCAGGAGACAAGGTGCAAGCACGTTTCCCTCCTGCCCTCTCAGCATGGCAGAGATGCTGTTACAGCATGAGGAGTGAACATGGAACCCTTCAGCCTCAAGCACTGTATGCAGCGTGGCACAGGATGAAAGGCTCTAGGGAGCAGCTTCCTTTGTAAAAGACAAACAAACCCTGACTGGGAAGTCCAAGGACAAAGTCTCTGGTGCTCTGCAGAATAACAACACTCTTCTCCCAGGTACAGCCATGCTGCACACACACAAACATGGACTTTCCCCCCCCTCTGCCATGCCCCTCTGTTGAACCAGCTCTCTGCCTGCTCTCAAGGTGCTACTTGGCTTGACAAGTCCTCAGGCCTCCCTGCAGTAGGATAAAGCCATGAGGATGAGAGTGGAGCTCACAAAGCTGCAGTCCTCAGGGTGAGTCCCTCAGCAGGGAGAGGTTTGCTCAGATGGTAAAAAAAAACCTCTGAAGTTTCAAAACCTGACTGTACAACCTGCTCTTTGATGTTAGCCCTGCTTGGAGCCTGTGCTGGGACCAGATCACCCTCATCTGTCCCTTACATTGTAAATTCTGCCATGAATTCTACAACTAGGACAGAAGCTGAGAGGATTTAAGGAGAATATATGCAGGAACACTACTCCACATAAAAAAAAAGCCCCAAACCATCAGTGTGGAGCTTCTGCCTGGAAATCTTACAGCACAGATCAGATCATAGCACCTGAACAGGCTACGTGTGGGAAATCACTGGGTGGGTTTGCCTCCCTCTAACAAAATTAGCATCTTGGCATCTAAATTGCCATTTATAAACCTCTAGGACAGTGAAAGTCTTTTAATTAGCCCCCTCTATTCTCTGCCTCTTCATCAGCCTTGAAAAAAAGTCAGGTCAAAAGACATTCACTCTTTTTTCACTCTCAAATGAGACTCTTCCTGTGTTTGTAAGCTGACTAGAGGGTGTAAAGAAAAAAAAATGAGAACAAAAAAGAAAGAATGTTTTATTTCAAATGCTGGTGTACATCAATATTGCACTTTACAGAAGCACCTAGAACAAGTACACGTGCAAGGAGCTTTCCAATCCTCAGCCATCCACAATGCAGAACATGATACAGAAAACATTGGACATGCACTGGTGAGCAGAAGAGTTCAAATTAAAGTGAAGTACAATCTGTATAAAGCTAAACTCTGTTTTAATTAGCTGCTGTGACCTAAGCAGGCAATTCTGTGGAATGTTGAATACTTACTTGTGTCTCAGCTTTTACCAAGCAAGCTCCCCTGCTCCCTTAATCTTTTCAATACATCTGCAGGTAGAAGCTGAACAGCTCCAGTAATAACAAACTCCCTACCCAGCCAGCTGGCTGCAGCATAAGGAGTTACTGAAGTGAGCCTCTGGTGGAAGCACTTGGGTGAACAGATAAGAAATAAAATGGCAATATAAAAGTAACCAAGTGAGCAAACAAAAGACCCCACTGACCAGCCCTTTTGCCTGGGGAAAGCCCCTCATTGTACCACTCCAAACCAACGCCAGCAGTCTGCACACACATGCTTCAAGCCAGGAATAAACCAAAAAAAGATCCAGCACCACAACTTTAAGGAATCAATTCTCAAAAAAAAAAAAAGAAAGAATAAAGTTTTCATGACAGCAACTTCCCTGTGTTAGGGAAGAGAAGGATCAAGAGCCACAGCACTATGAATTTAAGGAACCAATTCTCAAAAAAACAGTTTAGCAGATGTGGCCAAAAAAAAAAAAGAAAGAATGAAGTTTTCATGACAGCAACTTCCCTGTGTTAGGGAAGAGAAGGATCAAGAGCCACAGCACTATGAATTTTGTCTCATGACCATTCTCACCCAGCGTAAGAACCTGGACAGCTTGGTATAGACACCATACTTGCCTTTCCTTGCACATCCTTCTCCCCAGCTAACAATCCCAGTAACAAAGTAGGTATCTTTATATCTGGTTACATGGGGACCTCCACTGTCTCCTTGACAAGCATCTTTTTCCTCTGTTTCATAGCCAGCACAGAACATGTTCTCTGTGATTGCAAAGTTAGTGGACTGCTTGCAGGTGTTCCTATCAACGTAGGGGACCTCAAGGACTTTCAGCTTTTTGGAGAGTCGGCCGCCGTCGAATTCCCGCCCAAAGCCACTCACCATCCCAGACCTCTGGTTCATCAGGACCTCATTGGCAAAGTCAGCCTCAGGGAGGCAGGCTGCAATGATGTACTCAGAAAACCTGATGGGCTCCTTCAGCTTTATCAGGGCGATGTCGTTGTCGTAAGTCTGGGAGATGTATTTGGAGTGCATGAGGACCCTGTCCACGGTGTGCATTGTCTCAGACTGCTCTTTCTTTTCTCTGTCCACTTCACCTGTAGGAGGTTGTTCAATGGGTCATTAACACGGAGGTGGGATAATTAAGAGCAATGCTGACAAAGGAAGAGAGTGGTGTACTCATTCCTAACACCTCACCCAAGCCTTTGCACCGTACAAGGAAGCTGTAAAAACGTATCGCAATAGAATCATAGAATCCTT